AGCAGGAAGTCAGAGACCACTCACTGATTACGCATCTAGAAAATCCCATGTCAAACGCTATTAGTAGTCCCCAAATTCAAGGCAACTGATGAAAATACTGTGAGTTACTCTACTTTTGGGCATGCTGAACACGGATGGCACTGCAGATGTGCCCCCCTCCCAGCCCTCATGCCCGCAGGGACACAGCCCAAGCCTCGCCGGGGACACAGGCACTTCTGGCTATATCCTTGCCATCCGCCCCAGCCACAGCAAGAACATCCCCCTTCCTGGTTCACAGCCGAGACGGTTTTGCCACTTACATATTTTGATAAGCAACAGTTATTTGTATGAATTTCTCCATAATTCAGAGAGACAAAATGTCACAATGTTTACATTTAAATATTGGTCCTTCATTTCTTTCCAAATAATCACGCCTGTGCTTGTAGGAGGGATGTGGCAAATGCATGACTTAAAAATATCTGTACAGATTTTACTTTACAAGTACGGTTAGCTCAGTCAGACATTCTTTCAGTTCAGTTAATTATGATTTAAGTACTGAAGGTATCCGGTACACAAATCACGAAAATTGAAATGCAGAGAAATAATCTCTCTTTAGAAAGCCAGACATGCACCCAGGTATTTCACATTCCATATAAATAAATCAACTGCCAGGCGAACCAGGTCAGAAACAGACTACCTAGCTTCAAAGCAAAATCCTTCCTGAAAACCATTACCTTCCACCAAAAAGATTTTTTCAACACAGAAGTCGACCAGCCTGCCTTTAATTAACATTTCTCCCCTTTACACCAAATTTTGTGTATTATCCCAACCATTCTTTGGTCTTTTGAAAATGTCTTAGAGTGATACTCATGCTTCAAGTCATAGAAGTTTGCCGCTAGAAGCAGAGAATGTTATTTTTAATAAATAGCAGGTGACAACAAAACAAAATTGTACACGGTCTGTAGTGCCAAGAGACCCTGCAATGATCCAGGTGAGGAAAGGCAGCAACCGAGTTTTAACGCAAGGACTTCATACCCCAAGCAGCAGTCACGTAACGACAACTTACACCGCTATCATTTAGAGTCTAGTGATACCAGAATCAGAATTCACCACCAGGATGCAAGGTGAATATGCGTAATTCAGAGGAGCAGCTTCACTAGTTCAACCGCTTCTACAGAAACTGAATCATTTATTTGCCTTCTCTCTCAAACCTCATACTTAGAGGGCTAAAAGCTAGCTCTCCCATGGCACTGGTGAGCTCAGGTGGAACCACATTTGTTATTTTGAGACTTTTAGTATAGGCTTTGCTGACCTTCACAGCGCTCCTGTCTGACCCGTTCCTGCAGCCCACTGAGGTCCCTCGGACAGCAGCCCTGCTCTCCATAACAACTCAGCAGGTCTGATGGAAGAAAGCTGGCAAATGAATTTACCTGGTGAAATTTAAGATATTCGTAAATGCCTGTATTTGGGGTAGAAATACTATCTTTGCAACAGGAATTTTCATGTTAACGGAAGGCATGCTAAACACCAAACAACCTTTTCTTCTACAGAAGAAACCCATCCATCTTCCTGGATACGGGCGAGTGGATCACATCTGCTGAAACTGGAGATGGCATTGTCCCCAAACGCTGAACGACGCAGCGTTCAGGTGACTTCTCCCGGGAAGCAGATTTGGGATTCTAAACCCACTGCCTGAGAGCGATTCCAGTCCAGACAACTCCCACGGGAAAAAACTCCCACAGAAACCTTCCTATAGTAGAAAATACACACTTCATCAGAGATGCTGAAAGAATGACGTGCAACTGATCTCCAAACACACTGCACCTGGCCTTGAATATTTTATGCACACATAAGAGCACGCTGGAACAGCGTCACAGAATCCTTCACGTGTGTATCTCACTGCCACGTCTTGGTCAGCAAGGTCAGCACTGCTTCTTGGTGCAGAATACTAACCTGCACATTAGCAGCCTTTATGTCCAAAACCAGAAAGCATTATTGTGATTCCCCACAGCATCTGTACCAAAATTATTTAAACATTAGCTTCAGTTTCCTGAAAATCTCTTGGGAGCTGAACGCAAACCACTGTGTGACCAGAAGGGGAAAAACCGGAGTACAGAGAAGTTCAGTAACGTCCAGCCCGGCACAGCTGAGTCCAGCCTCCCGAGCCACCAGCCACACTCAAGGCCCCAGCAGCCTGCAGGCAACTGGCTACCAGTTAGCCTAACACAACGAGCGACTTTTGGGAACGCGTATTACGGAACCTAGAATCAGATCTGAAATGAAAATCAGGGATTTTGAATAGCAGAAAGAAGTCCTTCCAAAATAGCTGTACTTCAAATCCTAAAAGACGACACGGAACGAAAGATCCTATATATAGAACGCTTTAAAGGATCAGCAGGTATTAACTTTTTGTTAATCTCTGTGCAGTAGCACTGGCATGAATGAGCAATACGAAGAAAACAGATCTATTTAGTCTCCAACTTAAATCTGAAACCCACCCGCCACGCCACATCTTAGCCAGACTGACTACCACATTTAGCCCCTACATGAACACAAAGGAGTCAAGTACGTGCGTGCAGATCTTTAGCGAAGCTCTTCGCCGGTCTCTGGCTGGTAGAATTGCTGACCTCGGCAAAGTGCCGGAGGAGGCTGCTCCAAAGCGTTGTCACGCTGAGGGATACCCCCAGGCCCCACACCCAGCCTGCAAGCCGTCCCATTCAGACTGCCAAGCTACACAGTGACAGAGAGCACAACGCGATGCAATGAAGGAAAAAAAAAAAAGGCAGTCACTCAGCAAGGCCTAGATGTTTGCAGGAAAAAAAGCCAAAATATTCACATACAGAACAAAATCTGGGTACTTTTGCCAGCATTGATTCACTAATAGCTTTTGCATAAATCCTTCTAATACAGCAATTTCCTAGTGTGGTAATCAAAAAAAACATACTTTCCAGGATATAACTGGCTCAGTTTTTCCTAAAACGCTTTTGAGATCCCATGAAGAAAGGAATGCACAAGGAAAATCCTTCAGAGTTCATTTATGCTCACAGTCGTGCTTATAATATCAATATATTTCTTAGCTATTAATTCCTTACTAATTCTGTGACAGTCGCCTTTGAAGAATTCCTGGGATGCTACTCAAGTGCTCACACATTCTGACCAGTCCACTGAGGAGCATTTCTAAGTCACACTATTTATCGACCTCTGGACATTCCCAGCCAGACCGCTTTGAGCAAGCCAGGCAATTACAAGGCAGCCTTTCACTCCCGGCGTAGTCGAGAGCGAGCAGAGCCATTAAGCGAAAGAACCCCCTCCGAATGACGGCAAGCCAGGCAAAGCTGCAAGGCTGCAGTCACAAGCTGAAGGGCGTATGATAACATGGGGCAGAGCTGAGAGGACCTCATTTATCCGTGCTGGGCTGCCAAGTCGGAAAGCAGCCTTTCCCGAGTCAGTGGAAAAGGCTCCTTCATGCAATGCTATAGCAACCACTCGGGTGATTGTTTTCTCTCGCGTATCCCTCAGAAGGAGGAAGATTACAGGAACAGGCTCAGAGCAGCACAGCTAAAGCCCAAGTAAAGCACGCAGATGTTAGCGGCAATTACCCACAAAGCCATGAATGCAGTACAAGGCCGTAACTGCCATTCCTTCATGTATTCCACCAAACAGATGCGGTAAGCATTTTACACCCATTAACAAAATAGACAAGCTAACTTTTAAAATAGGCCCAAATTCCTCAAAAATTCAAAGACCTCACCCAGAAAATATGGGCATTTAAACTAGTGTGAGTGGCTAAGAATGAAGGTATCAAGAATCAAAGACACAATCAATCCCTTGGAGACAGAGGGAGGGAAGAAGGGAAAAGTGGGTCATGGTAAGAAGCCAAAATGTCAGTTTATAGGATTTTTCATTTCCTAAGCCCTGTTTATTGAATTAACTTTCAAAAATACTAAAACTTTATTCCAAGCTCTGGCCAAGACAGAACTCGGGGTTTGCTGACAATTTCAGAGAATTTCACAAAGGACTAAGATATTTTTTTTTCAAGCAATATGCAAACAAAGTTGAAAAATCACTCACCTAACTGAACAACAGTTACATTCCTAGGATACGCAACCTCTCCAGGCTGTACTTTCATTTGCTGATGAGAAGACACTAAAGATTGTAACGGACATCACTGCAGAACCTTTACATTAAACTTAACCATGAAAGCTATTCATTTCCAATAGCCTTAAATAAGCTGTGCTCTTATCTCAACCACGCACCATCTTCCAAAACCAAATGACGGCAAACTCATATTCTTACCACTTTGGGTTACAGTTCAGCAAACCAAAGGCAGCAGAATCCTCCACGAAAGTCCTTGTGAGGATCCAGCCTCAATCCAACCAGTTTGAGATTCAAACCTGTCACTTGCTGCAACAGCGAAGTACTTTCCACCCAGATGCAACAGCAAAACATCAGGGAACATCAGTTCCTGTTTCTCCTGTTTCTCCTGCACTTTCAGGGTTAAACAGAGTCATTTAAGGAAAGTACAATTAACAGTGAATGCCATAAGAAGCAAGATATGATCAAAATGTGTAACTACACCATTCCAAAACAGAAAAAGTTTGGACTAAGTAGAACATAAAAATAA